TTTAGATTTTTTATATTTAAAATGAGATGTTTATCATGTATTTGATTATGTTTATCTGCAGTTAATTATACGAATTCAAATATGGAGCTTTAATAAGTTGTATTTACGCACAATCTATTTGCAATATTGAGTTTTAAATAATATGCATTAATAAACAGTACTTTACGCATAAAAAGTGGGTTTTAAGATTTTTTGTCAAATGYTTTATAATATAGTATAGATTATAATAGTATATAGATTATGTGTTTTTAAGAAAACAATAATGATTTTATTTTTAAATAAAATATAAATTTAAAAATATCATAACAATTTGAAAAATCTTAATTCAGAAGATATATCGAAGTAGTTTGGTATGGGGATTTTGAAATTGCGAAAGCTGAATATTGAGAAAATATAAATTTAAATAAATCTTAATTCAGAAGGGTAATAAATGACAACCCAGTAAAAGTATAGGTGGTAGATGAACAAATAACATAAATACAAGGGCAAGTTCAACAATTTTTTCAAACTAAATATGACGTAAGCATATCTTCACTGAATCTAACGATGACATCATAAACGACCCCACAATAGCCTATAAATAGTAAACCCCTTCGCCTTTTACCACCTCTTCCTGATATCTGTAAACATCCATATATTTTTGACCCGACCCGTTTCCACTCCTTACGTAAACCCTAATCGGTCGTCGGTGCTCGGTTCTTCCAATTCTTCATCGTCAACACTTGACTTTCTTCATCAATAATGCCGATTAAGCGATCGCGAATTACTCAACCTTGTGTGCATTCGGAAAACGATGTCGTCGGTGTTGACGTTGAGAACCAGTCGGTGGAGCAGTCGTCGTCTGTTAATGGAGCTCGGAATAAGGCGGCGAGAACATCAACGACGGTGGAGCATGTAGTCATTCCACCACCACCGTTGGATCGAGAAGTGATTTTCACGATTGGATCACCACAACGAACACCGCCAGTTCAGATGCAACTCCATGGAGGCGGTCTTCCGGTACACTCATATCCTCTACTTCCTCCAACGTTTCTCCATATATGTAACTACTGTAAGAAAAGGATTCAACCGCATGAGGATACGTACATGAACGGGTAGGGTTGTTTGTTTACCTCTTAATAGTTTTATTAAAATACAGTCTCTGAATCGTTACTATGTAAATCTTGTTTGACAAAAAATATTCTGTTTTTTAATAGTTTTAAAACTCTCTGAATAATTTTGTATCATGGTCCTCCATCAATCATTCAGCGTACTAAATCCATTGTAAAACAATTACCGAACGATTATATTTTATTTTGCACTATATCATGACAGTGTCATAATCATTCTGCACCAAACCATTCAGTAACTGTCAAATAACCTCATATTAAGATCAAAGTGTGAATGTTACTAATTTGACAATTTTTTTTCCAGATCAAAATTGATTTCTCTTGATTACAAATCTGATTCTAGTAAGTTTTGTGCAGAGACTTGGAAGCATATTGTTCTCGTGAATGTCGTTATAACTTCAACGTGATGCGACTTGACCTGTTGAATCAGAGACATCAATGAATCACTTTCAATGGAGGAACAAGAAATTATCTGATTTTCTAACTTTTATGCGTATACAAGAAAGAATCTAATATCTTTATGTATTAACTGCTTAGGTTGTGGCGTACTGGTTAAGCCTCGGGGTGTATGATGAAAAATATCATCTACACCAGGTGTGAATCCAAAAGCTGTCAAAGCCCCTGTTCACCTGTAATTACTTTACTTCAGGTCGTTCGGGGTTGCCTATAATAGTAGTCGTAAACTGCTAAAAAATACACGGTTATCTAGAAAATATTAAAAT